TCAGGTCTCTTTGTCATGCCCTTTGAGACTTTTAATTGCAGTCTGGCAGGGTTGAGGGAGGAGATTCTGCCCCTCTTTAGCTCTGGAGAGACCTCACCTGGAGCATCCAGCCCTGGAAGGACATGGACCTGCTGGGGCAGATCCAGAGGGGGCCAAGATGATCAGAGGGCTGGAGCACCTCTCCTGTGAGGAAACCCAGGGAACTTGAATTGTTCAGTCTGGAGAAGGCTCTGGAGAGGCTTCATTGCAACCTTGAAGTATAAAAAGGGGACTTGAAAGTGAGTGAGGCTCTTCCCCAGGGTCTCCAGTTAAAGGACAAGGGCCAGTTGTTTTAAACTGAAAGAGAATTTTGGACTGGACATAGGGAAGTAGTTCTTTATGAAGACACTGCAACACAGTGCCCTGAGAAGTGGATGTCCCATCACTGGAAGTGTTCAGGGCTGGCTTGGACAGGGCTTTGAGGGGCCTAATCCAGTGAAGGGCATGGCAGGAGGATTGGCCTATGTGGTGCTTAAAGGTTCCTTCCAACCCAAACCATTCTATGAAAAGATGAAAAACAAAAAAACTGTAAAAACTGATAATCTGCAGGTGAGAAAAAGCCTAAAATAAAGTATTTTTTATATAGTGTACCAGTGATTTGCAATCTTTAATGCCAGTCCTGTACATGTGAATTTAGATGCATTCATATCCTATCACTTGAGACTAGAACATTCTCCTTTGTGGTGTCTGTGCAGGCCATTCTTTAGCCTTTTCCTCATTTTTGGTATGCACATAGCCTATAAACATGGATTGTGTGGATCACCATTTCAGAGTAGAGCCTCTGCCCCTGTAAGTGTTTTTTCAAGTGTCCAGCTTTGTGCTCTTTTTCCCCTCATACTGATGGCTCTGTCGTTGCTGCTTTAGAGTTGCACAGTCCCACTGTAGTGAATTACATAGTGTTTCCAGCATTCATGATGCATTTGTGGCTTGGATCATGACCCAGAATTGCTCTGCTTCTTTGAAAAGGTGGAAGCAGAAAATTAAGCTCTTGAACTATCTTCCTGAGAGGGCTGGAGAAGCCTTTTCCAATTTTCTGTGCAGTAGAAAAGTTATCTTCAGGTGATGCTTTATCACTCAGGAGAGCTCACAATGGGAAGAAAAAAGGTAGCTGCCACTACATTGTAATGTAAACAACCTGAAGTGTTTGGGGATGCTGAGGTTCCATTAGTGACCAGTCTGTCTGTTGGAGTCTCTGTGCTCTGATTTTTAACAGGCAAATAATTACAATCATGTCAGTTGCTATAAGCATTCTTCCTGGCCTAAAATATCAGTTGTGTCTCAGGAATTCTTAGCAGTGCATTAGTTCTCATGTTACAGGTGAGGAAACTGGAGCTTTCCTGTCCTGATCACCAGAAATCATTCCAAGAGCTGGTAGGCTGGTAGGATTTCCAGCCTCAGTAATACTTTGTATTTACAGTCCCTTTCTCAGTTTTGCTCTTTTTACTGCCTTTTGGGGAACTTGACCAAGCTCTTTGCCAAGTTCCTGGCTTCACATTACTCAGTGGCCAGAAAGGCTTACTGGAACCACTACGTATTTGGAGATAATGTGGTATCTCCATGTGCAAAAATTTGGGTTTTGATTTGCAGTTGCAGGAGCCTGAAATTATAGTCTGTAGGAGCAGGGAGGTTAAAATGGCAGATAGAAAAGGGCTTCAAGTCTTTTTTGTTATTAAATCATTTCTTTGCAGGCTGTCATTGATATGATAAATAAACTTCACCTATTGCACTGCCATTTCTCTCCACCTTGGTTTCATGTTTCCTAAGGAAGGAGATGTAATACTATGCAAAGTATTTGTCCTATCTGGACATTTACCTTTGCTGCTGCTGTGAATCCCATCCTGATCTAATTGACATTCTTTGCCTTCTTTCACATAGTTTGTTCAGTCTCTCAGGAAATCTCTCCTCTAATGGAAACTTATTTCAGCTTGATGTTCTTCCTTAAAGATAAGCTGTCATCTGGTCAGGTCACTTAAGGCATAAAAATGACGAACAAATAAATCTCCATTTAAGTTCTCTGCTCAGAATACATGAAGACCTTTCTGGCCTGTCTGCAGAGAACTGAATCATGGCTAAGTCCTAGACAGTCAAAGATACACCTTGCTTTATGTATTGTCATTTTAGCAAAGAGAAAAGAGTAGCAAGAGTTCACTCTTTGCATCTTCTGAAATGGGTGGAGACTTTCTAGCTACAACTGACAGGGCACAAGGTTACCCACAGCTAAATTGAAAATGTCAACAGCATGTCTCTGAAAATGTCTCGGCGTTGCCAAGAGCTCTGGTTTTGGCAAATATTTTTTCTCTATTATATAATTAGCTGCTCTCAGGGGACACAATTCAAGGGTAGATGTGAAGTTTTTTATTTAGGTTGTATTAGATGTGCATTGCAAGTAGTTTGCTTCCAGTGAATCTTCCTCAATCATTTCTCACAGGACTGCTTAGTGGGACAGGTCTGCACTAAGATTCAGAAGCTGCCAAAAAAAAGTTTTATTTTGTAGAAATTTTATTGAAATAGGCCCACCGACTATCTACAGCCTGATAAATCTGAACAATGAAGTCTTTACTCTGAATACAATCATCACTATTTTGGTGAACTTTGTCTTTAGCTAATTGCGTGACAAATGGTCCTTGCTGGAGAGCTTGGAAGGTAATGACAGTTCTGTAAACCAAGTTGTTGGCACAATTTAAAAGCAACTCACATTCCAGCCATTCCTAATACATGATTAGATCAATTTTCTGTTGGCCTGCAAAAATACAAACTATAACCTAAGAATTAAAAGAGTTATGAAACAGAGCAATGAGAAAAAGATTAAGTACCTGCAGTAAGCACTGCTAGGAGATACTTTTGCAGAGTTAGCCCTTGTCACCTCTCCCTAGGAGCCTTGTCCCAGATGCCAGGCTCCAGTCTCTTCATGTCTTCCAAACAGCTCAGAGTTGTCACACTACAGATCTACATCAGGCAAACCAGTCCTTCAGTGTTAGCATCACAGACCTTGATGGCTGGCAGTGGGAGGAAGGCTGTCAGAAATATTTCAAACCTGATTGTGGAGAAGATGTTGCTTCAGAGATTGTTTTATCTTGGCAGCTGACAGATTGACACAGGCCCTTTTGACTGTTGCAGTTGGCTGGGGGCTTGTTGATTTGAGGTGGTTTTCTGTTCAAGCCCAGGGGTTTATAGTTGGCATGCCTCTTTTCAGCTTAAAGGAAAATGTCTGTGTAGGTATTTGTGATCCACACATAGGAAGCAGAAACTGATATCCTAGCAGCTGATGCACCTTCTTTACCTCCCCATTTTTCTAAGGATCAGTAGTATTTTTGCTGTTCATAATTTCTGCAGTTCTTCTTTGCATTCTTTGCTGATATATTTTTCTCTATTTCATTTTATGGAGTTTTCTCATAGTTTTAAAAATTGGCAGATTTTCTGATCTTGTTTTACATACTGAACACTAATAAAACAGGGAAAGTTTGATTATTATTGTCCATGCTTGCCAGGTTGGACTGCTTGTCACTGAGGTTCTCCTTTGGTCTGTTGATTACTAGATTAATTCTTGGCTGTACATTTGAATAGTTTATGATAATTGCATTTTTTTTTTAAATTTAGTTCGCTAAGCATAAGAATACTACCTTTTGGCAGCTGCATTTGGAGGGAAGTAGAAAGGCTTTCTGCACCATGTCTATGCTAGATTTTTATAAATCTCCTAATTCTCAATTGCAATGTTTCTTGCTCTGTCACCAATTGAGGATGAAAACCATTCTTATTATCCATGTTTGTCCTGAGTCATTAGCTCTGCCTTTAGGAGTACAGGATTTATTAAATCATGTTACATACCCTACAACACCTATATAGCAAATGACATACTCAGGTCTCCTTGTAAATACATATAAGTAGAAATTGAGCTTGCTGTAAATTCAATAATTCACTTCCAGGATGGATCAAAAGTTGACTGCTATGGAGGGATATAAAGGCAATGTAGTGCTGTGTTTGCATACTAAATTTATACAAATACTTGGTTTTGTGCAGCAGCAGCATCTGAATTTCTCCCTTGAAAGCACATTATGAAATTGTTTATCAACACTTGATTGTGATTGAAGGAGAAAACCTACATGGTTTTCTCATGTCAGTAGTCAGTGAAAATAATGTGGGCCATTGAGCTATGTTGTAAAATTATTAAAGCACATCCAAAGGTTTTTGAATGCTATATGTAGCTAGATTTCGGCATGTATTGTAAATTTGCATGTTAATTAGTGATAAATTTTACCTGAGACAGAACCTGTTCCACGTGCAAAATAAAATGACTCTTCATTTGTGTAAAATATTTGGCAGAATTTATCATGTTGATTCTGAATCTTTCCAGTTTGCTGAAGATAAGAACATTGTTCTGCTGTACTTGTCTGCCATCAGCCACTCTTTGAATGTCTTATGTTGCTAAATCCCAACACAAGCCTGAAAGCATTGTTCAAATGGTATTTTCAGGGAAGTAGCCTCACGTCTTCATGGGAACACATTCCTCTCCCTCCTTTAGAAGTGTTACCTTTGTTCTTAAAGTGCACATGTAGTTTCTCTTTAGGCATCATTTACAGTGAACATTTTTTATCCTTTTGGTATATTATCAGTGTGTTTCATTTAATACCTTGCATTTCTGTGGGCAGCTGTTAACATATTCAGGCCATCTTCTTATCCTTGTGGTACATTCTCTAAAACAGAAATACAGAAGAGTTGAAGGTTTGTATTGTAATGGTTATGTTGCAGTGACCTGAGTTAATTCCCAAGGTGTAATGCTGCTTTGGTCAAGGGTAGACCTCCTGTCCACAGCACTGGATGGTGCCTCCAGCCTGCAGAATTGCTGAGTAGCATCCATGCCCTGCTAACCTTTGTGTTCCAATTTAGTGGTGACAATTGGTAAGTTCCAGCTGGTCACACTGCATAATTTTTCTCTCCTCCTGTCTTCTCCAAAAATGTTTTAGGTAGAAGAGCTGATGATGGCTATGGAGAAGGTCAAACAGGAGCTGGAGTCAATGAAAGCAAAGTTGTCCTCAACACAGCAGTCTTTGGCTGAGAAGGAAACCCATTTGACCAACCTACGAGCTGAAAGAAGGAAACACTTGGAGGAGGTCCTGGAAATGAAGTTAGTGTTTTCTTTTATTATTTGTAGGTGTGTTTTATTAATGTCACTGCATTCCTTTCTGATCCTCATTGTTCTAAAGACAGCCCCTGCATGGATATGTCTGTGCAGATGGCAGCTATCTGTAATCAGTGGAGCCTTCAGAGGTGACTTCTGACCAGGGATTACTGACATCACTTTCACACTTCCTCTAGAGCTGAAAAACATTTCTTCCTTTTGGTTATTTACAGTAGACTTTTATTATTTGCACAATAGCATCTTCAAAGATCCTAAGCAGCTATTGGGACTCAGTTGTTCTATGTTTAATGAATGTGTCATCTTGCTTTGAGCAGCCTGTAACTACTTCAAGGTAAGGTGCAAGGCAGTGTAGCAAATGACAAGAAAAAGAGGGAGAAGATAAACATAATGTCGGGTGTTTGTCATGTTAAAATCAGACTGCAGATGTCTGGTCTGCTCAACTATTTTTCAAACTCATGCTGATGATTCATTAGCACTGGAGCAGTTTGAAGTTCTCTATCAGTCAAACTTTTCTAATCATCCTTACACAAGGAAGCCTGGATAAAACCAGGCTTTGAGGAGGTAGGGAGAAGAGAGGGATTAGACTTCTCAGGCTTAAATACTTCCTAATTTCTGACTGTGCATTACAGATAAATAGTTATCCTTAGTTTAGGGAGACATGAATCCATTTACTGCAATGATGGATAGTGCTGCCAGCAGTTCATTAGAAACACTTTCAGTTGTTTAGCCAGCCCTGAAGAGAAGGAACATTTTTATTGGCAGGACTAGCAGTGGTTCCTCCACTGTGGTTTTGTGAGCCATTATTTATTTATTTAACTATTCTACACTGGTCTCTTTCCTTTTTTTTTTTTTAATGAAAGGATAGAAAAACAGCTGTTACAAAATGGAAAGAGGTGGCTTAGATCTTGAAACTTTAACTTAGATGTGCTGTGTAAAGTGGGCCAAGCCTCCCCAGCTTCATATTCAGCTACAACAGTTTGAGCTAGACCTGGCATAGGGCTGTTGGAGGACTGCAGTACTTAAAAGCCACACTTTTTATTTTTAATAAAAAAATTTATTGAGCTATAAATTTGACTGCCTTGAGAGTTGCTGTATGGGGGGATGGGAAGAATAGCTCTTTAGGTGATGTGGGAATCCAAAGCAACTGGAGATGTATCCCATATCCAATCACTTGACAGTTCTTTCTTCTGCCAAACTGCTCTGCCAAACCTTCTCATTAAAATCTACATGCAGTGTACTGTATATCTTGAAATGTATTTGGAATTGTGTAGATCCTTTAATATAACTACTCAGTTCTTAAATGATGACCTCTCTTAGCTGTGTAAGTTATTGTTGGAAAGTTTTTGTACTGAAATGTGGTATCAGGGACTGCATGAACTGGTAGATCCATTGTAGCTCAGAAGGAAGAAGAACACTGGAGAGAATGGTAATGCTGTCAGCACATGGAGAGAAAGATGGAAAAAGCATTACGTTTGTATAGTTAACTAGCTGAGTGTGTTTTAGTCATAGCTGGTCTCTCTTAAAGTTCTATAAAGCTGCCAAAGGCATCCAAACTTCAGAAACTCGCCCTCACCATGAGGCTCTGTTGCAAATAATTCTCTACTGAGGATTCCCAGTCAATTAAATATCCTATTTTATATACAGAAACTCCAGTATATTCTTTGTTGCCCTGCTTTCCCAGCCTATGTCTTTTATGAAAAGCACTCATTTGTTTTCTAGTTTTGCAAAAATTTTCTCATGTTGTTAAAGTATTAACTGCATTTTCAACTGAAAAATAATGGTAGTTGAATAAGTGGTCAGTTTTGTGAAGCAATTAGCTTTTGGAGTTCTTATGGAAAAGACTAGCTGTTGTACAGATGGTGTTCAAAGGGATGGTGAAGCAATATTGTTCCCTAAGTTTTAGGGCATTCTTCAGTGGGAAAATGTGAGGTGCTCAAAACCAGCACTGATTAACTTTGAGATTTGATAGAGGTGTGGATTTAACAACCTAGGCCCTGCAGTCAGCCAATGGGGCTGAGGAGCAGACAAGAAAAACAGCTTAGGAAATGCTGCTTTAGGAGATTCTGGATATGGAGTGAAAGAAAGTGTTAAGGCAACAAGGGGACTCCAGAAAGTTACCTCTGGGTTTTAATAGGAAGTTGTTAGATATAATGCTAGTGAAAATACATGTTTAAAATACTGTTTCTTAGAGTAGAATTTGTGTTTATTACTAACTCTGTAACCCTGAGAAGATCATTTCACACTCCTTAGGGAATAGTGTGGCACTGGAATAGCTTAAGTGTCAATTATTCCAAGCAAGAAATTTCACTCCTTAAAGAAATACTATGTATTTTGAAGCCCTCTTCCTTTAAGTCTAATATTTTCATTTTCTTTAAAAAAACTTTAATGCGAATAATTATGAGACAGGCAGATAATGGTCTCTATTTATAGCACCAAACCTGATCTACTGTAGAGAAATACTAGTGAACTGCTAGGATTTTTGTTTTGTTATGTTTTCTTTAAGAAGTTCTAGTGTTTCCATCATTCACAGCAAATCTTTTAAATTAGGCAGGAATAAAGTGCTGTCTACAGAGAAATCTCTGTTCTTTGTCCCATAAAAACCTGCTTAGGCTGAGCTGAGTTATAAACTGTTGAAAATCACCAGTTTTACTTTCCTTTTTTTTTTTTTTCCTGGTGTTGTCAGCAAATTTTGGCAGTGTGTGAAAATAACCAAGCACAAACAGTCTAATCTGAGGCCGGGCTCATGCAATTGCCAAATCTGTAGCAGTGGACACTGCACTTAGAGGGAATGGGAACAGACACTGTGTCTGCATGGGTTTTTTATAGACAGGCCTTTTGTTATGGTCAGAAGGGTCTTCCTAGTCATGTGCTTCAGGATTGAAAAGTCCCAGTTGGGGCATTTCTCAAGCTGTTCTTTCAGACCTGGAAAAATATCCAATAGCCCTTTCCTGAATTATGCCTTCTCCTGCTAATTGCAATTGCTGCTAGCTCTATAATTCAAGGTATGCAGACTTACATAATGGACTTGGCACTTCAGAGTTGAATCTTTCATCCTGCTGGCTCACAACAGAAGGATTATTAGTTGTCTGAGAATAATTTACTATCCTCTTATTTCTTGAAAAATAATCAAGGATATTGCAGATGAATTTATAGTCATCACAGAAAATAATTTGCGTTTCAAAATCAAGCTGTCAGAAAACATCTTTTGATTTCTTGTCTGACTGTACATGAGTAGCCTTTTGAGTATTTATTACAGTAGTTTCTAATGACATGACTGTATCCCACAGCCAGTGTTTCTTTGATACAGAGTGGAGGCAGTGATCAGAAATGAACCAGGCCTGTAGTTTAATGAGGCTGTTTACTGTCTGCCTTCCTTTCTTCATCTCCGAGCTGGAAGGCCTGCTGAGAGCTACAGGAGGGATACTCATAAAAACGAGATGCCAGCCTAGGCAGGGCTCTGCAGGAAGACTGTTCACCCACATCTCTGCTACAGTTTTCCTGCATGGTATGACTTAAAAATATTTGATAGATGGAGGAGTCCACATCTTCATTTTCTGGCTCTCAGATAAGAAAAATACTAAGGCATGCACATGAACACTCACAACTGAAAATTAAGTCAGTGGAAGCTGAGGTTTTTTTATCTTCTGAGATCATCTTCCCAGCAATAAAGCAGCATTGTTTGGAAGTATGAGTATGAAGCTGAAGTTGAAAATAATCCAAAAGAAACTGATTAATTGACACAGTTTATTTGCCAGAAAAGTAAAATCAGTTGATCCAAAATGAGGTGTGAAGTAATTTCAAGCCCTGCAAACAGTTTAACCAAACAAAAATGCTTCAGGTTGTGTGCACCCATGGTGAACAGAACTAAAAAAGAAGAAAGTATCAATGTCCATCCAACAATAACTTGTCAGCTCATCCACGCGTCTTCTTGGAATCTAAGGAATTTCCTGGTCTTTAAAGAAGTTATGGTTTATGCATATGTGTTAACAACAGTCCTACAGAGCAGATGAACAGCTGTGTCCGTGGTTGGAAATCCCTTTGTGTTTGTTGTCAGTGCCACAAAGCAGCAGCACATGACCATCCCATCAGCGAGGTGTGGCTTTCCAGCCCAACACGGGCTCTTGGTCACAGTGAACTGGGCTTGCAGGGTGTGTCAGAATATCTCGTGATGGCAGCAGGGATACCTAAACTTGCCCTGGGATTACTTCACTGCACTTAAATAAGCTGAAGTCCCACAGGGGGCACTCTGTGTCTGTAGCATTCACTGTCTGGGGCAAAGCTGAACAAGTGCATCCATGTCAGTCCATTTTCCTTTCTATTAGCTTTGGAATTTTCTTTTTAAAATGTCTTTTTCTGGGCACACAGTGAAAATTAACATGCTAGTGTCCTGTTACCATTGTTTTGTCCATTTCAATTCTGTTTTGTCCTTTTTAAGCATAAAATATTTAATCATATATGTTTATTTTCATTCTGTATTGTCACCCCACTAAATTGTAGCTACTCAGTTGAAGTAGTCTGAAATATGAAAAATAATCCATCTCTAATTACTAAACAATAGAGACCTCATGTTTAAATAATTTGACATGACTGACCTTGGAACTGCTGTTAATCTCCAAGTGAGTGGTACAGAATCCAGTAGGAAAGCATGAAATACAGCATGCAGATATACTGAGTGTCTTTTGAGGCTCAAGATTATTGAAAGATCTTGGTTACCTGTAAATTTGGTGTCTTTTGCTACTATTTTTTTAAATTCAAGTGAAAACTCGAGAGAAAACATAATCTCCTTTGCACTTTTTTTTTCTCTTGGCAATTAAGGAACGAGTCCTGTTATCCTTGCTGTCCCCCTGTGTTGTCCACAAGCCTTCTGAGCACTCTGAGGCTCGAGTGTTCTGGCAGCACTAGAGGCAGCCTGCCACGCTGTTTCCATGCAACTCACACTAGCTGCCCTGAATCATGGAAGCAAGCAGAAGAGTTTAACCCAGTTT